TCAGAACTCAGGAAATGCAGCTACAATCAGGCATAGAGGGGAATTTATAGCCTTAAACATGTCTTAGAAAAGAAAAAAGTCTGAAAGCCATTTATTTCAATATTCATATCATTATGCTGGGAAGAGAGTGGAAAATTATGCCCACAAGAAAGAAAGAGGGAAATAATAGCAGAAATCAATGATGTGAAAATGAGTAAGAGCTGTATTTGAAAACCCAATATTTTCAAAGAATCAAATAAAATGGATAAACCATTAACAGGAAGGAAAGAAAAGATATCACTATGGCTCCAATGAGGTGACTTGGTTTGCCTGGACTTGTCCGGTGTTTAGCCCTGAAGGACTTATGTCCCAGGGAACTTTCCATTTCCTGGAAAACAGGAGAGTCAGTCACTCCAGTTGCTTCCTTTGACAACGACTGAGAGGATATGAAAAACAATGTTATGTCAATATGTTTGACAACTGAGATGAAACAAAGTCCTTGGAAAGCTCAATGCCTTAGTTACTTTTCTCTTGTTGCTGAGACAAAATACCCAACACCAGAAGTTAAAGGAGGAAAGGTTTAGTTAGCTCACAGTTTGTACAGGTTTTAGTCCATAATTGGCTGGCTCCAAAGCAGGGTGGCATGGCAGAGGGGCATCAAAGAGTCAAAGAGGAGAAACAGTTCATGGTGGGCAGAAGGTAGCAAAGCAACAAGAGTCGACCATAGCTCTTTCTATCTCTTATATCTTATCCAGGCTACTTAGGGCTGGTATCATTCATACTCTCAATCCTAGTGCTCTTAATCTTACCATTGCTCCATGAATCAAGCCCAGTGTCACACACTCGAGATCCAGCCACCTCTGAAAAAGCCCCATCTATGACTGCATGAGGCTTTGGGGGACATCTAAACACTAGCCATAACACTCAGCTTACCAAAATTGACACAAGAAAAAATATAAAATCTGAGTAGTCTTATAACTAACGCACATATCGAACTAATTATTAAAAACCTCCCATGAAGAAAACTCCAGGACCAAATGTCTTCACCAAGCTTTTCAAACATTTATAGAAAAACACTTAACACAAATATTACACAAGTTCTGAGAGAAGAAAAGACATGGAAGCACTCCCAAATGTATTCATTGAGAGCAGAATAACCTTAATACTAATATCTGTTGAGGACATTACAAGAAAAGAAAGATATTAGTCAGTCTCTCCCGTGAAAATAGACCAACCTCACTAATTTTTTCCTCCAAAGACCCTGAGAGTAAATTCTTTGGGCTTTATGGGTTATATGGTTTCTATTCCCATTTCTGCACCATCAGAGGGCAAGCCTGAAAGCACAGCCATAGTTGATACATAAACGCATGAGTGTGGCTGTGAGCATCTATGAGACGCTAATAATTGGGCAAACATCCTCAATAATATTAGCTAATTTAACCCAGTGATATATAAAAACAGCAGAGTTATTCTAAGAATTCAAACTAGTGTCAGCAGTAAGAATTCATCACATTAACAGAAAAGAAGAAAAACCATTGGATTGTTTCAATAAGTATAGAAAAAAATGGTAGAATTAAACATTTCCTAAAAATAAAAACTGTATGTGAACTAGGACTAGAAGGAAACTTCTTTAGGCTGCTGATAGAGATCTACAAAAAGAAAAAACCTGAAAACCCCAAAAGAAATAGTGCTCAAGTTGTGATAGAAAAATACAGTTTCTTTGTTTTTTGTTTATTTATTTTGTTTTTGAGATGGGGTCTTGCTCAGTAGTTCAGCTTGGCCTTGAACTCACTATATAGCCCAGGCTGCCTTGAAATCATGACAATCCTGCTGCTTAAATCTCCTGAGTGCTGAGATTACAGGCGTGTGCCATCTCACCTGGCAATACAGTGTATTTCAATTTTGAAAAATTATTAAAGTAAAAGACATTACCATTAATTAAATCACCTCAAAATATTCCCCTTTGCTTCAAACACACTTATCCCTTTGTTCTTGCCACTTTCTGAAGCAGTTCTGGGGCTCCTCTTTCATGAGCGTCTTTAGTTATACTTTTTTTTTTTTTGCAGTACTGGGGCTCAAACTCAGGACCTTGTGCTTTTGAGGCAGGTGCGGGACCACTGAGCTAAATCCCCAGCCCCCTTTAGCTACACTTTCATGACTGCCTAAGTGTCCTGGATCAACTCAAAATATTTCCTTTTCATGGTCATTTTGACGTCGGGTAAGGGCCAGACGTCACATGGTGCCAGATCTAGGGAATAAGGTGGATGAGGACACAGCATCAGGTTTTTAAAAGCCTGCCTTTCTGTCAAAAGACCCTCAGTAACAGCATTTACTGTACTTTTAATCATACCTTGTAAATAAAGATGTTCGTGGAGGACTTCAGAATTCCCGAAAGTGGCAAGAAGGATGGGATAAATGAAACAAGGGGGAGTATTTTTAAACATTCACCATATTTTCCAATCACTCTTATGGTAAATGGTGAAATACTGAAAGTGTGGGAAGGAGACAAGGGTGTTTGTTCTCCCCACTGTTCCACACTGTGCAGGAGATCTCAGTGCAATCAGGCAACGACGTGAATTAAAACCTAAGTATTACAAAATTTAAAAAGCATTTGCAAATGACAAGATTGGGCAAATCAAAAATACAGAAGCTTATTGTTACTAGGATTAAAATAGGGCTGGAGGCTTAGCTCAGTGGTGCCAGCGCCTGCCTGGCAAGCACAAGGTCCTGAGTTAGACCCCTGGTTCTGCAAGAAAAAAAAAAAAAAAGAAAAGAAAACTACCAGTCACTTGATATAAAATCAATAAACAGAATGAATCAATTCCTTTATTATAGCAACCGAATTAGAAAAGGACATTTTAAAAATTACTGTATGACCTTCAAGAGTGAAAAGAATGGGAGAAAATGTTTACAACTAATAAAATTGACACAGGTTTAATATCCAGAGTATGTAAAGAATGCCTGTGATTCAACAAAAGGGCAAAGAACCCCATAGAAAAATGGGCAATGGACTTGAATAGATCTTTCCACAGAAGATAGCCAGACACCCGATAAGCGCATGAAAAGATGCTCAACCCCATCATTCCTCAGGGAAATGAAAACCTAAACCACAGTGAGGCACCAGTTCACACTAAACAAATCCTAGAAGCCGAAGCCCTGGAAAATGCGTGCTGGTGAGGAGCTGGAGAAATCGGGACCTTCACATGGCGCTGGTGTGGAAGGAGGCAGCCACTAGGGGGAGCAGTTTATCAGCCCCTCACAGGGATGCTTAGAATTCCAAAACCCAGCAGGCGCACTCCTGGTTCTACGCCCAGAACTAGACGGCAGGACTCATGCCAGGTGTGGAGGCGCACACTTGTAATCCCAGCATTTGGGCGGCTGAAGCAGGAGGATTTTGAGTTCAAGACTAGCCTGGCCTACATAGTGAGACCTTGTCATAAAACTAAAACAAATCTAAAAATAATAATTAGAATTAAGAAATAAAAGCAGGACTCAGTTATGCCGGTGTTCGTCGAAGCAATATTGATTGTAGCCAAAGGATGGAAACAACCCAAGTATCTGGCAACAGCTGAATGGATAAGCGACACGTGTATGTTTCCGTGTTTTTATTTTTTCTACGTTTTTATTTTCTGTATTTCCTGGTGCTTTGACATAGGGCCTTTCTAACACAGCAGCAACTGCCCATCTTATAGGTCCAGTTTTCAGACGAAAACCACCTGATTCAAGCCCATTAGCCCCTGCTACGTCCTTATTGAACTCTCAGGCCACCGTCCCTCTTCCCACCCACCCCAGGGCCAGGTACCAGGCCACTCGAGATAGCCCCCAAGCACCAGAGTCCTCTATGATGTGTGACGTTAGCCAAAGCCTCTGCTGTCAACTTTCCTTTCGGGTTGAAACCCTAAAAAATACTCTTGGCTCACAGTCTCCTCACTTCCTGTTTCCTGACAACCTGCAGTTTCCTTGTATGGCGCTGGGGACAGGCCAGGCCTTCTGTTTCTTAGACCTGTGAGTATAAACTTCTTTATGAGTCATTTCTGTGTTGGCATGTCTACTAGACCTGCTTAAACAAATCCCGGGTGTATTTTAGAATCAGCCATATACCGTGGACCTTGAGTTACGACTGGCCTGACATACGAACAACTTGGGTTATGACTGGAATTTTAGTTTTAACTTAGAACCAAAGTCTTGAGTTACAACCCAAATGCTGGCCGCTTGTGCTTCCAGATGGTCTCAGATATAGATTTAATCCATAAAGAGTTCTGGAAGGAACATTATAACATCCTTTTCTGTATGGGGTTAATTGAGAAATCCTGGGCCAATGTTCCTCTCAGAACACTGAGATCTGCCTGTGTACAGGAGGGAGACTTTGAAGGCTGTGTGAAGGAGCCTGAGCCTTCATTTGACCAACTTGAGTTATAACCAGCCCTTGAGAATAAATTGAGTTGTAAGTTAAGGGTCCACTATACACACAATGGAATTCAGCCATTCCAAGTGATGGATTGATAAGTACTGTAACATGAATGAACCTAGACAACAGTATGCTTAGTAACAGAAGCCAGGCACCAGAGGAAAAGTAGTTTGATTCTACTTATATAAAAGATCTATAATAGGTAAACTCATAGGGAAAGAAAGTAGATTAGAGTTTACCAGGACCTGAGGTTGGGGGAAAGAAATGGGAGTTATTAATGGGTACACAGTTTCTGTTCATTCTAATGAAAAATCTTGGAAATAGTAGTGATGGTTGTACAAACTAAATGCAACTCATGTCACCGATGTGTATACTTACAGTGATTTAAATGGCAAACTTTGTTTATATATCTTATCACAATAAAAACAAGCAAACTGTTATTAAAAACAATTTACAACAGATATAAACTACCTAGGAATAGATTTTACAAAGCCCCAAACTAAATATTATTAAGAAAAATTGAAGACCTATCTAAATGGAGAGATGCATGTCACTGGTGGATTGTAAAATCAATATTATAAAGATGTCAGTTGTCTCATAAATTCATACAAACCTAGTCAGAATCCTGGAAGGCTTTGCTGTTACTGATGTTAAGCTTGACACACTGATTTTAAAATAGGCGGGAAAATGCAGACGACCAAGGACACTCACGGCAATACTGAAGAACAACACAGTTGAAGCCCTTAGAGGTATAGGGGTCCTATCAGGTACTGGTAATGGCGGCAGTGTGGTATTGATATAAGGTAGTAAATCTGTAAACAAGGTAAATAATTGCAAATAAGTGCTGTAAAGGAAATCCACAGAATTTTCCCCTCATGCTTAATTTAGAAATAATTTCAAACTTTCAAAGAGTTGCAAGAATAAGAATACACAACACCCATATGCCTGTGATGGGCTGAATTGTGCCCCCTGCCTAACCCCAAGTGTCTCCCTCAGAATATGACCAGCCTTAGAGGCCTTTAAGGAGTAATTCAATTAAAAAGAGGTCACAGGGTTGACCCTGCTCCCATCTGACTGGTGTTATGAGAAGGGTAGATCAGGACACACGAGACCTGGTGAAGACAGAGATGACAGCCGTGGATAAGCCAGGAGACTTCAGAAGAAACCAATCAGAGTGACCAGTGGGAGCCCCTGCAGGCTGGCTCCTGTGCTCTGTGACTTGGTGGTCACAGGAGGAGAATGAGGTATTAACAGTGGGCCCAGCAGGGTGTGCTGGTGTACGCCTGTGATCCTAGCACTCTGGGAGGCTGAGGCAGGAGGATCACAAAGTTTGAACTCAGCCCGGGCAACTTAGTGACTTAACACTGGGTAGAACGGATGAGTGAGAGCACTAATGGAATGGCCTACGTATTGCGGCATTCGAACCAACAAGCCTTACTGAAGCATTACATGTAGGGGGTGATGAAATGATCATTACAGGATAACAAGGTCCCTAATTTGAGTGATGTCATGCATTGGAATGATACAGAGTGAGGGATGTGGGTGGATGAAGCTATGCGTCTTCACGGTATCCATCCATCCAAGTGGACGGGCCAAAGCTGGCAATAAGGGCAAGAGCATAACCTAGGGCAGAGGCAGAGGGCTCTTGCATCCAGGGGTCATGGAGAAGAGGAAATCCCCAGTGGGCCCTGAGAACTGAGCAGTCGGTGTGAGGTCAGAGGAGCCAATGGGAGTGTGCTCAACAGGAAGGAGTGGTCAATTGGGTTGGGTGCTACTGAGTGGGGAGGCGAGTGTGGATGAAATTTGAGTACTTATGGAAAGGCCCAGGTGCCGGCCAGTGAATGGGAACTGAAAGGGAGCGTGAAATGGGCAGCTCTACTGCAAAGTGGGGAAACAGGACTCAGAAATGGGTTGGAAATGAGACTTTTAAAAAAAAAACAAAACAAACTTGAGACACTAGAGCATGTTTCAAGAGAAAAGGGAGAACGAGATTGTTGCCCATGACAACACAGAGAGAATAATCTAAGTTCTTTGATGTCAAACTTTCTGCCTTCAGTATTCTTTTATTTCCTTAAAAAGTAATGAGGATGCCAAAGAACTTTTGCTTATGTTGATTATATCTATCAGCATTTACCATATTAGAAAATAGATAAAATGATTAGGTAAAACGAATACAATTTTGGGCGGGGGATTTAATTCAGTGGCACCATGCCTGCCTCGTAAGTGTAAGGTCCTGAGTTTGATCCTTGGTACTGAAAAAAAAAATGAATACAATTTTAATGAAAAATTATACTTTGCAAAACAAAAAAAATCACTGCAATGATCTTTGCAAATCTCTGTAATATCTGGATTGAGAAGATAGCTGGTTTCACATATCTTGTTTTGCCTTTAGTCCATTGCAATACCATACTGAACTTCTGTAAAGCTGCACCACACTGTCCTGAGAGAGTAAGAGTGAAAAGGCGAGTAATGTCTTAGCATTATTATGAAATTAGTTTCGACAGACATGGAATCCCTAAAAGGGGCTGAGGACCCCCGGAGGTTCCCAGAGCACTTGGAGAACTGCTACCACGGAAGCAAAAACCTCAGAGAAGGTAGATGTGAAGATGGCATGTGACTACTCAGGTTCTGGCAAAGGGTCTTGCTCCACTGAGCCAGCGATAGTGACTACAGTTATAACCCCTGATATGGCTCGTCGGGCTCCCACTTGGCCCCGACTCTGCGGTGCTCCACTCATTTAGCCAGTATTGGGCACCGGGTGGAGGCTGGGGCAGTGGCCCGCTAAGCACACAGTCCCTGTCTTCATGGGGCTGTCTCCTCGAGCACACAGACTCGGCACAATTAGACACGCCAGCTTGGGAAACTAGCGGAAATCGCCATTGGCGGGGGCATTCACAGAAGGGCGAGCACGTGGTCGGGCTTTACATTATTCTGTTCAGTTTTAACAAGCACCCAGTGGGCACGTTTCAGTTTTTAGGTGTTTTCTCACAGTATTGGGGACTGAACCCAGAGCCTTGGCTAGTCCTTTTTCATTTTGATACAGGGTCTTGCCTAGATGCAAACGCTGAATTTGAACTTTCGATTCTCCTGCCTCAGAACCCAGAGTGCTGAGGTGGGCTACCACGCTGGCTATGTTTAGATTTGTGCAGAGAAGGGCTCTGCCCAGGCCACATGGCCCTAAGGAATTTGTTGGAATCGGAACTCAGCTCGCGCGAAAACCCACGTAACAAAAACCCGCTACCAAGACATGACGTTGGTTGCTCGGCTCTCGCTCCCTCCTGGAAGGGCTTCCGGCGGAAGTTCTCCAGGTGGAGGAATCGCGGGCCTGGCTCCGCCTCTTTCCAGCAGAGACTGTCTTCGATTTGGCCAATGGCAAACCCGCTTCTTGTCAGGGGCGGAGACCTGTTCTCCAATCCGCGAGTGAGCCCGTCGCTTGGGCAACAGCGTCCAGGAGACCCCCAAATGGGCTGGGCCTCTAAAACCCGACGGCTTAGGGTCCGCGCGCAGGTGTGGGCCGAGCGAGACTGAGACTCGAGCGGGGGCCGGGGTAAGGAGGCGATGGCCTCGGCGAACGGCCCCCGCGCGCGTTCCGGGAGGCGGCGCGCGAGCCCAAGGGCCGAGGACGGGCTGGCCAGGCTGCTTGGAGAGTCCTACAGCCCGAAGGCTTCCGAGTGCTGCAGCCCACCCCGGGGACTCAGGGGCGGGGATCCGTATACCCAGCACGTTTCTGGAGCGTCCACATTGGGCTCTGGGGCTACTTTGGCTAGTGCCTTCCTCCTTCCCATGGAGCTTAAGGATAATTGGGAAAGCGACAATATAAACAACATCTAAAATGATGACATCTTCCTCCTCCCAAAATTCCTACGATGAGCAGATAGGAAATGTATCCCTTAAACCTCTCCAGTTTACTAAATATTTCATGCCCCATACTTCTCTGTGTCCCTCAGCGATCTGTTATCATTAACCCCATCTTACAGATGAGGACTGGAAGGCTACGGGGTGATGGGGCTTGTCCAGTGTCACACAATTTCGTTGCAAAGCCAGAATTCAAACTCATGTCTGTCTCATGGAAAAATCTCTACTCCTTTACATCCTGCTTCCTGGTACTACACAGTTAGACCTGTCTCTCTCAGAAACTTTGTTGGGAGCACCTTGCAAACTGTTCTATGGTTTCAGGCTTACTTAAACAGTTGTCCCAAACCTCCTCCACTCCTTTTTCCTTTTTCCTGAAAACTTTTGCCTTCCAGTGTGACTTCGGGAAGAGCAATAGTATTTCTGAAGTTGTATATGCGCCCCTTAAGGGGTAGACTTAAAGAAATGCTGTAAGTAAGTTCTACTTTTACACACTGCATTTCCTTCATCTCATTCTTTTATCTATTACCTTCAATTCTGCAAACATTTTTTTTCCCGGTACCAGGGATTGAACTCAGGACCTTGCAGTTGCGAGGCAGGTGCCATGCCACTGAGCTAACCCCCTGACCCTTCTGCAAACATTTATTCAGATAAATTCTGGGTATTTGAAAGTGAGGCAGGCATGGCTGGGATGATCTATGAACATATTTACCTCCCACCCAATCTTACTGTAAGCTTCTTTGAGGACAAGTGTTCTACTTTAGGTATCTTGCTTCCCGCTTCTGTTCTACATTCATTTTCTATGCTTGCTTGTAGATATTTACCAAGAAATGCTTACCCAAGACTTTACACTTTGATCTCCAATTTTGTCTGCTTTTTTCCCTGCCTCCTTCCAGCCACCCACTTCTTCCTTGTGCACAGAGGTCTCTGAGGCAGCATCCATGCCGGGATTCCCACAGCTGATCAGCACCTTCAGACAGAACCAGCTCTGCGGAGATATTTGGTAGCCTGGTGTCTGCCCAGCCCAGGGATCTGGTGTTAACAAGGCAGTTGCCTTAGGAAAGCTTCACAGGTGTGTATCAGGAGTGGCTGTTGTAAGGTAGTAGATGCTGAGAACTGCAGATAGGTTTCCTGGATATTTCCTTTCTCTGTTAGGATTGAAAAAATAATGTCAATGAGAAACTGTAACAAAAGAAGCCAACAATCACTTTCTTTCTTTAAATGCCACAAGTGATCTTTTGGGAAAGTACAGTAAAACCTTGGTTTGTGAGCATAATTCTGTTCGGAAACACGCTTGTAATCCAAAGCACTTGTATATCAAAGTGAATTTCCCCTAAGAAATAGTGTAAGCTCAGATGATTCATTTTACAATAAAAAATAATCATATAAGATGATTACAATGCTATAATATAAAATAATAAAGAACACATGAAATATAAAGAAAAATAAACTAACCAACACTTACTTTTGAAAACCTTTGTGGTTGGTTTGAGGGACACAAGAGAGAGGAGGAGGGTTATTGTGTAGGATGACTTTCACTGTCACTAATGGAATCATTGCTTTCTACTGGGTCAATTAAATCTTTTTCTTTTGTGCAACTATAACAAGGAACCTATCCAATGACACTTCCTTTTGAGGATTTCACAGAAATGTGACATTGCATTGTTGTTAGAGTCATCACTCACACTGCTATGCCCTTAATTAGGTGGTACTTTTCTATACAATTTTGCACTGTTTCCCACATTTTACACATCTGCCTAATCACATTTTTTTTTTTTTGGTACCGGTGATCGAACTCCGGTCCTTGCGCTTGCAAGGCAGGCGGTGGAACCACTGAGCTAAATCCCTGGCCCTGCCTAATCACATTTGAAGTGAGGGATTCTTCCACCTTTTTCTCCTCCTCTGCAGAGATCTCCTTCATAAGCTGTTGCTGTTGGGAGACAGTCACCCACAATACTACAGTGCACAAGAGAAGAACCATTGGCTCAGCTGTGATCATGTGACATTTGGTGTTACGTAATACTCGTATTGCACGACATCACTTGTGTATTAAGTTAAAATTTATGAGAAATGTTTGTTTGTCTTGTGAAACACTCACAGAACAAATTACTCACAGTCCACATTTTTACTGTATATTTATCTAAAAATACCCCACATCTTGGCTTGCACAATTTTATCAATTGGGTTTAAGCAATTAGTACTGTATTTAAATATTGATTCACTTTCAATACAATATTCTCCAGGATGCCTTCACCATTTGGAAAATTGGTATAAAGGGAAGGGCAGAGTTTGAGAAAACTCTATTAATAAAGATCATGAGAATATGATCCGCTTCTTTCTCTTGGCTTTGACCTCTCACTACAATTTGTTCTAATCTGTTTTGGGTGCCATTTGTCATTTATTTTCTTTCCATCTATTTGTCTTGTTTTACTACTTCTAGTATTACTATTACTCCCAGCTCCTACTTACTAAATACTATGTTATTGACACAGTTTGGAGCCTTACATACCTGTTTTTATTTATTTATTCTCAACCTGCTTATGAACAGGTATAGTTACTATTCCCATTTTGGGGGGACAGTATTGGGGAATGAACCCAGGGCCTTTATACTGGGCTATATTCTCAACTTATTTATTTATTTATTTATTTATCCAGTACCAGGTATCGAACTTAGGACCTTGCACTTGCCAGGTAGGTGCAGCACCACTGAGCTACATCCCTGTCCCAGCTTTTAACATTTTAAAAAAAATTTTGAGTCAGGGTCTTGCAAAGCTGCTAAGTTGCCCAAGCTGGACTCAAACCAAGCCTCCTGGAGTGCTCAGGTTACATGCATGCTCCTCTGTGCCTGGCTACTATTCCTATTTTTCAGGGACACAGGACTTCACAAAACTGATAAATGGTAGAATGTACCTTCTCCTCTAGGAATCCTGGTAATGGAATGTGTGTCCTTGGCTCATTTTCTGCAGCTCTCTGATGTTTATATACTCTAACTCCCACCTAGTCTTTAGGATAACTTGTAAGAAAGCTAGAATAAGGTAAAATAGAA